CCCACTGCTGCCATTATTCACATATAAGGCAATTGTTGCCATTTGTTGTTTTCGTCCCACTGCTGCCATTATTCACATATAAGGCAATTGTTGCCATTTGTTGTTTTCGTCCCACTGCTGCCATTATTCACATATAAGGCAATTGTTGCCATTTATTGTTTTCGCCCCACTGCTGCCATTAATCACATATAAGGCAATTGTTGCCATTTTTTGTTTTCGCCCCACTGTTGCCATTAATCACATATAAGGCAATTGTTGCCATTTTTTGTTTTCGCCCCACTGCTGCCATTAATCACATATAAGGCAATTGTTGTCATTTTTTGTTTTCGTCCCACCGCAGCCATTATTCACATATAAGGCAATTGTTGCCATTTTTTGTTTTCGCCCCACTGCTGCCATTAATCACATATAAGGCAATTGTTGCCATTTTTTGTTTTCGTCCCACTGCTGCCATTAATCACATATAAGGCAATTGTTGCCATTTTTTGTTTTTGTCCCACTGCTGCCATTAATCACAAATAAGGCAATTGTTGCCATTTTTTGTTTTCGTCCCTCTGCTGCCATTATTCACATATAAGGCAATTGTTGCCATTTTTTGTTTTCGCCTCACTGCTGCCATTAATCACATATAAGGCAATTGTTGCCATTTTATTTCGCCCTGCTGCCATTAATCACATATAAACAATTGTTTCCATTTTGTTTTCGCCCCTGCTGCCATTAATCACATAAAAGGCATTTGTTGCCATTTTTTGTTTTCGCCCCACTGCTGCCATTAGTCACATATAAGGCAATTGTTGCCATTTTGTGTTTTCGTCCCACTGCTGCCATTAATCATATATAAGGCAATTGTTGCCATTTTTTTACGCCCCACTGCTGCCATTAATCACATATAAGGCAATTGTTGTCATTTTTTTTTCGTCCCTATGCTGCCGTTAATCGCATATAAGGCAATTGTTGCCATTTTTTGTTTTTGCCCCACTGCTACCATTTATCACATATAAGGCAATTGTTGCCATTTTTTGTTTTTGCCCCACTGCTGCCATTAATCACATATAAGGCAATTGTTGCCATTTTTTGTTTTCGTCCCACTGCTGCCATTAATCACATATAAGGCAATTGTTGCCATTTTTTGTTTTCTTTCGTCCCACTGCTGCCATTAATCACATATAAGGCAATTGTTGCCATTTTTGTTTTCGTCCCTAATTGCTGCCATTATTCACATATAAGGCAATTGTTGCCATTTTTGTTTCGCCCCACTGCTGCCATTATTCATATTATATAAGTAACGAGCTATATTTTTTGTTTTCGCCCCACTGCTGCTATTATTCACATATAAGGCAATTTTGTTGCCATTTTGTTTTCGCCCCACTGCTATTAATCACATATATGCAATTGTTGCCATTTTTTGTTTTCGCCCCACTGCTGCCATTGTCTATATATAAGGCAATTGTTGCCATTTTTTGTTTTTCGCCCCACTGCTGTCATTAATCACATATAAGGCAATTGTTGCTGCCATTTTTTGTTTTCGTCCCACTGCTGTCATTAATCACATATAAGGCAATTGTTGCCATTTTTGTTTTCGCCCCACTGCTGCCATTAATCACATATAAGGCAATTGTTGCCATTTTTGTTTTCGCCCCACTGCTGCCATTAATCACATATATGGCAATTGTTACATTTTTGTTTTGTCCCATTGCTGCCATTATTCACATATATAAGTAATTGTTACATTTTTGTTTTCGCCCCACTGCTGCCATTAATCACATATAAGCGTACTTGTTGCCATTTTTTTGCTTTCTGGGTCCCACTGCTGGCATTAATCACATATAAGTAATTGTTGCCATTTTTTGTTTTCGTCCCTGTTGCCATTATTCACATATATGTAATTGTTGCCATTTTTTTCGCCTCACTGCTGCTATTAATCACATATAAGGCAATTGCTGCCAATTTTGTTTTCGTCCCACTGCTGCCATTAATCATATATATAAGGTAATTGCTGCTAATTTTGTTTTTGTCCCACTGCTGCCATATTAATCACATATAAGGTAATTGTTGCCATTTTTATTGTCGCCTCTCTGCCATTAATCATATATAAGGTAATTACGCCAATTTTGTTTTCGTCCCACTGCTATTAATCAAGTATATAAGGCAATTGCTGCCATTTTTGTTTCGTCCTCTGCTGCCATTATTACATATAAGGTATCTGTTGCCATTTTTCACTGCTGCCATTAATCACATATAAGGCAATTGTTGCCATTTTTGTTTTCGCCCCACTTGCTGCCATTAATCTCATATAAGGTACCAAGATCATTTTTGTTTTCGCCCCCACTGCTGCCATTAATCGGCTATAAGGCAATTGTTGCCATTTTTGTTTTCGTCCCATTTGCTGCTATTAATCACATATATGGGCAATTGTTGCCATTTTTGTTACTGCTGCCATTAATCACATATAAGGCAATTGTTGCCATTTTTTTTTTTCGCCCCACTGCTGCCATTATTCACATATAAGGCAATTGTTGCCATTTTTGTTTCGCCCCACTGCTGCCATTAATCACATATAAGGCAATTGTTGCCATTTTTGTTTTCGTCCCACTGCTGCCATTAATCACATATAAGGCAATTGTTGCCATTTTTGTTTTCGTCCCACTGCTGCCATTAATCACATATAAGGCAATTGTTGCCATTTTTGTTTTCGCCCCACTGCTGCCATTAATCACATATAAGGCAATTGTTGCCATTTTTGTTTTCGTCCCACTGCTGCCATTAATCACATAATAAGGCAATTGTTGCCATTTTTGTTTTCGTCCCACTGCTGCCATTAATCACATATAAGGCAATTGTTGCCATTTTTTGTTTTCGCCCCACTGCTGCCATTAATCACATATAAGGCAATTGTTGCCATTTTTGTTTTCGTCCCACTGCTGCCATTAATCACATATAAGGCAATTGTTGCCATTTTTATTGTCGCCCTAGTTAAGGTAGAGCCTCAGTGTTAAGTGAAGGTATCTAGTTAAGGTAGAGTCTCAGTGTTAAGTAAAGGTATCTAGTTAAGGTAAGTCTCAGTGTTAAGTGAAGGTATCTAGTTAAGGTAGAGCCTCAGTGTTAAGTGAAGGTGTCTAGTTAGGTAGAGTCTCAGTGTTAAGTGAAGGTATCTAGTTAAGTAGAGTCTCAGTGTTAAGTGAAGGTATCTAGTTAGGTAGAGTCTCAGTGTTAAGTGAAGGTATCTAGTTAAGGTGAGAGCCTCAGTGTTAAGTGAAGGTGTCTAGTTAAGGTAGAGTCTCAGTGTTAAGTGAAGGTATCTAGTTAAGGTAGAGTCTCAGTGTTAAGTGAAGGTATCTAGTTAGGTAGAGGCCTCAGTGTTAAGTGAAGGTATCTAGTTAGTGAGAGTCTCAGTGTTAAGTGAAGGTATCTAGTTAAGGTAGAGCCTCAGTGTTAAGTGAAGGTATCTAGTTAAGGTAGAGTCTCAGTGTTAAAGTGAAGGTATCTAGTTAAGTAGAGTCTCAGTGTTAAGTGAAGGTATCTAGTTAAGGTAGAGCCTCAGTGTTAAGTGAAGGTATCTAGTTAAGGTAGAGTCTCAGTGTTAAGTATGAAGGTATCTAGTTAAGGTAGAGTCTCACTGTTAAGTGAAGGTATCTAGTTAAGGTAGAGTCTCAGTGTTAAGTGAAGGTATCTAGTTAAGGTAGAGTCTCAGTGTTAAGTGAAGGTATCTAGTTAAGGTAGAGTCTCAGTGTTAAGTGAAGGTATCTAGTTAAGGTAGAGTCTCAGTGTTAAGTGAAGGTATCTAGTTAAGGTGAGTCTCAGTGTTAAGTGAAGGTATCTAGTTAGGTAGAGTCTCAGTGTTAAGTGAAGGTATCTAGTTAAGGTAGAGTCTCAGTGTTAAGTGAAGTTATCTAGTTAAGGTAGAGTCTCAGTGTTAAGTGAAGGTATCTAGTTAAGGTAGAGTCTCACTGTTAAGTGAAGGTATCTAGTTAAGGTAGAGTCTCAGTGTTAAGTGAAGGTATCTAGTTAAGGTAGAGTCTCAGTGTTAAGTGAGAGGTATCTAGTTAAGGTAGAGTCTCAGTGTTAAGTGAAGGTATCTAGTAAGGTAGAGTCTCAGTGTTAGTGAAGGTATCTAGTTAAGGTAGAGCCTCAGTGTTAAGTGAAGGTATCTAGTTAAGGTAGAGTCTCACTGTTAAGTGAAGGTATCTAGTTAAGGTAGAGCCTCAGTGTTAAGTGAAGGTATCTAGTTAAGGTAGAGTCTCAGTGTTAAGTGAAGGTATCTAGTTAAGGTAGAGTCTCAGTGTTAAGTGAAGGTATCTAGTTAAGGTAGAGCCTCAGTGTTAAGTGAAGGTATCTAGTTAAGGTAGAGCCTCAGTGTTAAGTGAAGGTATCTAGTTAAGGTAGAGCCTCAGTGTTAAGTGAAGGTATCTAGTTAAGGTAGAGTCTCAGGGTAATATTAATTTTATTGTTGTTTCATCGTAAGCTAACCAATTACACACATTACTTCCGTTCTTAATCCCTGAGGAACGGTTCACCCCACGAGACTTTGAAGGTATGGTAGCAAGGGAAGGTGTGTTCTCTTTACTTTCAATAACACAGGTAAATATTCCCCATTGTAATCACCCCACCTTAGTATCGACTACCTGTCACCCATCGTCTCTCTTGTAAGACATAACAAAGATATATTGTGTGTGTGAGGGATGTTATTTATGCTGTGTATAATAGTGTAGTACACCCATCTACACCTGCACTCTGTGGGTGTATGAGTGTTCACCTTTGTGTAGTTGGTTAAGTGAGTCAGATAATCAGATGATGATTAGGAACCCTAATTTATTTCACCTGTTGATTGAATATCTTAACAGTAAACGGGGAGGGGTGGAAGGATTAGGTTAAGTTAGGTCAGTGTTAGGTCTTTCTGTCAGTATCACAAATTTTATCAAAGGCAACAAAACAATATGTTATTATTACGATATTTTTATTCAGAGTCAAATTTATTTCCTTAACTAAAACACCAAAATATATCACATTTTTATAATAAACTTATTGACGATAAACATTTTAACATTTTTATTTCACAAACAAGAAAGATATTTACTATTTTATATAAGACTATGAATATTTTTGGAGGGACAAGTGAATATAAGACGATACCAATATGTTCCAATAATGTATAATCCTTTTACTTTAATAACTACAAACACATACACATTTAGATTTGCCATTGTAAGACTAATTACTTAAAAATACTTAGAATAAACACTAATATTAACTGGTACACTTTACACTCCCAATTAAGTATAAAGTGCAAAAGTGTATATTTAATGTTTTACTTAAGTTAGCGGTTAAAGTTTTCTTTGGTGCGATGCATCTTTGAGGGGTGACTATGACATATGTTATATCTGTGCCTTTCTGTCGCATCTCGTCTGTTTATTCTCTCTCTCTCTCTCTCTCTCTCTCTCTCTCTCACGGGTTCTTGATCAAAGTACCGTTGGCAACAGGCAGACTACAGTACCGTTGACAACAGCTAGACCCCAGTACTGTTGTCAGCAGCTAGCAGGGCTCTCTCTTGTGACACGGATGGTAATTTCAGCTGAAGAACTATTATGAAATATGACAATACAGCTCCCACCACCTGTAATAAATGACCTACTGTATTATTGTTATTATTATTGTTATTGTTATCATCGTTGTTATTGTCGTTACTACTACTACTACATACAACACATCACCATCATCATTATACTCACCGTAATAATGAAAGGTCTGTTGATAGTGAAGAAGCGACCACCAGTTATACACACAGGAGACGACGTCAGCGCCACCGTCAACTCTCGGAACTACACGTGTAAACAAACCAACATTTCCCGCGTTATTTTATGTTTACATTATGAGCGTTCGTTAATAGTGTTTTTTTGTCATAATGTTTAATGTTTGTGTTTATTTCTTGAATGTTTAATAATTATTTTTTTTAATGTTTGTGTTTATTTATTGTTATTTAATAGATCATACAGTTAAATACAGTAGTCTACCCCCTCATACTTGTACAACACTACAGTAGAATACAGTAGTCTACTCACATGGAACTTGTCCTTATCTGAGGCAGTGTAGGGTAGGCCGCGTCTAAGTACATCCACGCTCGTCTCGGCCTGTACATGTAGGTTAGGTTAGGTCAGGGGTCAATTAGGGTGTACACTGTGATCTTGTACACTACAGACGGTCATGTTAGGTTAATGGCTGTGACCTTGATCGTGACCTTGACCTCGGCTAAGGGTGATTATCCTGACCAATAGGAAGAACGTAATTGACAGTTATTCTTGCTCTCTACACAGATACAAAGACACACACACACACACACACACACACACACACACACATAAACGATCACTTTATCATATCCCGTTGATGATAATAATAAATTAAATAATAATAATGAATACCGATGAAAAATACGATCCGGAACTTTGAATAACATAGTCAAGATCGATGTATAGATGGAAAGATCAATCCCGTACAGTCATTCAGTAACATCTCACCGTAACTCCATAAATATTACTTACAACAAAAGATAAAAACACTCTAATGTCGCTTGTTATATTTGCTAATCAATTTATGTCTTGTTATTACCTCCGGAGATAATTAGTTCAATAGTAATCAATGGTTAGAATATTATTAATAAACATCTCCCCGACACGTCAACAATGGCCGGAACACCGACCACATCTGGCACACTTTGTCACACTTAAATAACAAGTCATCATCATTCACGTATTATCTGCGTCAATTACAACTCTTGACCATTATAAGAAGCCCCTTAACTACCAATTTAGGGCTATTGATGTCGACTTGGCAGAACAAGATGCATTAAATAACACGTTTGTAAAGAGGAACTGGGTATCTAAATAAACAAAGTGTGTCGGGTGGGAAGAATACAAATATCGACTCAAAACCAAAATTAATTCACAATAATAAAACAAAAGACGAAATAAAGGTCAGTATTTATCTTTACCTCTTCACCCACTCTACTGGCTTTGAGCGACACGAGGAAGAACACTATGCAAGTCTGGACCATAATTAGGGTCTGCCACACAGCCTCTTGTCCATGGTACCCCGCACCTATGCCGATACGGTACGCGATGAGGTACAATTCCAAGCACAGCGTCACTACCTGTGGGTGTGGTGCAGTTAGCAGGATAGGTACTCGGAGCAACGGATTTAAGTTGGATAAGTTTAGGTTTAGGAGGGAGATAGGAAGGAACTTGTTCACAAATAGGGTGATGGACAAGTGGAACAAGCTTAGCAACTTTGTAGTAAGTGCTGGAACGCTGGAAAGATAGAGAGTGGTAGTAACTCTCGACAGGAGCTGCCATGCACAGACCAACCGGCCTATTGCAGACTCCTTATTTTCTTATGTTCTTATGTTAGAGAGAGTACATGAGAGAGACAGAGAGACAGACAGAAACTCACCTGTGTAGCATAAAAACATTGTAGTGTAGAAGAGAAGATGGTTTCTGTCTCACGGACCATCTGTACCATCTGCCAGTGGCTCTGTACCAGTTGGGACATCTCTACCACCTGGCCCGTGTGTACCGGTCCATGATTCGTGTGTACCGGTCTATGATTCGTGTGTACCGGTCCATGATTCGTGTGTACCGCTTCCCCATTGGTCCAAGCAGCTAGGTAAACACACAGTAGAGGTGTTTATATACGTACACGGAGTTGAAACGCACACACACACACACACACACACACACTAATTAAAGTTACATTAATTACCAAACGTATAAAATTAATTACAAAATATTAGTACATGGCCATTACAAATACAGGTACACTAATTACAGGTACACTAATTACAGGTATAGACTTAATGATGTACAGTAATCAATGTGTACTAAGGTGTATGGAAAGTACACTGAGGGGTGAGGGAGTACAGGTGAGGGGTGAGGGGGTACAGGTGAGGGGTGTGAGGGGTGAGGGAGGTAGGAGTGTGTTTGCTATGGGTGGAGAAGAGGGGTTATGTTTCTTTGTAGAGAGAAGGGCGGTGGGAGGGGGTAGAGAGAGAGAGAGAGAGAGAGAGAGGAGGGGAGGTGAGATAGAGAGATAGAGATAGAGAGAGAGATAGAGAGATAAACACAGACCTACCCTCTAGTGTACTTGTCAACTGATGCCTCCAACAGTTGAAAACATTATACAACATTTGACAGATTGAGACGAGAAGAAAGAGCGATCCTTTATACACCATATAGAGGTGACCCACAACAACACCCACCACCACTCGTACTACCTGCCGGAGAGAGACACGTAATCAGAGGGGTCAGGGAGGAGGAGTTATGGGGAATACTGCCTAATTATCTATCTGCGTCACTCACCTGGACACTCGGAGTTCCCTGCCTCAGCCACTCAGGAGACACCATAAACAGCACTTGGGCTAAAAGGTCGACTATGTCCATTAGTTTATCTGGAGGTCCTATGACGGCCACCACCAAAACCGCTATCACGAAGGCGTAGAGAAATAGAGCGTGGACGATGGACGAGACCCTCAGCCCCTTCGTCGGGTCTAGGGACGTCTCAGCCACTAGGACCTTCCATTGGTTGAGGAATTTACAGATAGGATGGCCATAAAGGACTACATTTAGGACTTCCACCCAGGCGTTCAGTAGACACCCGACGATGATTACTACACCTAGGAGCTCTGTCTCATGGCTCTCTGATGACTTATCCAGGAACTGTGATCTGAGGAACATCCTGACGAGGCCGACGGAGGTGGTGATGAGGAGGGCGGTGAGCCAGGCGAAGACCAGGAGAGTGTGGAGGGCCGCGACGCTACGCCAGGCTAAGACGTACTCCTGTAGGGTTCTGCTGTAGGTGTAGGGGACGATACCTAGCAGCCGGAGTGTCAGCCTAATCAACATTAATGGACGGTACAGAACGTCCTTGTTCTTGGAGGGCATCTTGGCGTCCTTACCTGTCACACTAAGGACGTCCACGCCCCCAGGAGCCGTCAGAAGGTTCTTGCCCATCACTGGTGAGTCCTTAGCGTCCTCTGCTGGTGTCCACGAGCACCTACCTCGTACTTGCGGCTCACTGGGGTTGACCTTCGGCTGCGGGAACGTCTGAGCTGAGGCCTCTGGTGCGGCACGGGAACTGGTCATCCTCCAACACCGCGGCATTACAACCACAAGGACGAGGAGGAAGTGAGGGGCTTGGAGGCTGGAGAGCGAGCCACACCTCCACCACGGCCACACCTACACTACCACACTCCCCTCCATCATCCCTCACCCTCTCACCTCCCTCCCCCTCTCACCTGCCCCCTCCCTCACCTCTCACTCTCTCTCCCATTCACCTCATTTTTCAGGTCTTCCCTCACCCCTCACTTTCCCTCCAGTCAGTAGAATAGAGATCGACCGACTCTAATGACCTCTATCTCAAGGTCCAGCCCCGCCCACCACTAATAACCCGTTAATGATGGTTGAAGTTAATTAGTGGGTTATTAACGATTCTAATTATCCCAAACTTATTTTTTTCCGGGTTGTATCATTAATTATCAGTTTAAATAATAAGATATTGATTTTATGTGAATATGTCAAGTTATCGAGGTTTTTTGCTACCTTTGTCAAGTTATCGAGGTTGCTGTTATCGTTCTGTATCTGTTATTTTTATTCATTTTTGTTATCTCTTCTTTCCAGATGTAAATAATAAAGATACGATAAGCGACATCATCTTGGTAGCTGCCACGTTGGATTGCTCTTATGACGTCACTTCCATATGGCAGGTTGGTGGAGCCGTTTTGTGAGGGGCTGTCAAGATTGGGCTCTGTTTGGTCACGTCTCTGTTACACACTGTTGGCAAGTACTGGCTCTGTTGCATACTGTTGGCAAGTACTGGCTCTGTTACACACTGTTGGCAAGTACTGGCTCTGTTACACACTGTTGGCAAGTACTGGCTCTGTTATACACTGTTGGCAAGTACTGGCTCTGTTACGCACTGTTGGCAAGTACTGGCTCTGTTACACACTGTTGGCAAGTACTGGCTCTGTTACACACTGTTGGCAAGTACTGGCTCTGTTACACACTGTTGGCAAGTACTGGCTCTGTTACACACTGTTGGCAAGTACTGGCTCTGTTACACACTGTTGGCAAGTACTGGCTCTGTTACACACTGTTGGCAAGTACTGGCTCTGTTACACACTGTTGGCAAGTACTGGCTCTGTTACACACTGTTGGCAAGTACTGGCTCTGTTACACACTGTTGGCAAGTACTGGCTCTATTACACACTGTTGGCAAGTACTGGCTCTGTTACACACTGTTGGCAAGTACTGGTTTGTTACTGTGTTACACACTGTTGGCAAGTACTGGCTCTGTTACCACTGCTGGCAAGTACTGGCTCTTGTTGTACACAAACACTGGCTCTGTTACACACTACAGTTGGCAAAGTACTGGCTCTTGTTACACACTGTTGGCAAGTACTGGCTCTGTTACACACCGGCTGTTACACACTGTTGACAAGTACTGGCTCTGTTACACACTGTTGGCAAGTACTGGCTCTGTTACACACTGTTGGCAAGTACTGGCTCTGTTACACACTGTTGGCAAGTACTGGCTCTGTTACACACTGTTGGCAAGTACTGGTTCTGTTACACAAAGTACTGGCTCTCTGCTACGTACTGTTGGCAAGTACTGGCTCTGTTACATACAGTTGGCAAGTACTGACTCTCTGTTACACACTGTTGGCAAGTACTGGCTCTGTTACGCACTGTTGGCAAGTACTGAGCATATACTGGCTCTGTTACCAAGTACTGGCTCTCTGCTACGTACTGTTGGCAAGTACTGGCTCTGTTACATACAGTTGGCAAGTACTGACTCTCTGTTACACACTGTTGGTTCCATTGGTCAAGTATGGACCGAGTGGTGTTTATAAACCTGTATTAAGTCACACCTTGTCCGCCTATAATATAAGCTGCACCCGTTCTAATCTCTCTGGGTGCCTCAGGTGCCGTAGTGCAGGCACCAGTCTGGTGGCCCTCCTTTGGACGTTTTCAATCAGTCAACTCAGTATAAACAAACATCACAAGGTATAAGATCAATAAAGAACATATTAAGTATTATTAACACAGATGGTTGAACATAAACACGAGAGAGAGTGTTGGTCGCTTTATTTACAAAACATAAGAGAGGAGGGAGGCGTGTGGTGGTCTAATACATCAACATGTGTTTATCATCCTTACCACCACCACCACCACCACCACACAGCAGACTAGCTAACATACTCATCAAAGTCTTATTCTGGGGTAAAGTGTACGCCAGGCGATACTGACTGCTCGTACAGGCGGCTAATACTGGGGTGTGAACATCTCCAGTGTTTATTGATGGTAGTGTGGTGACCATGATTCAGGGTTCCAACACACGTGAGTCTTGTGAGAAACATTATCTTTAAGTAAAGTTGTTGGGATATTGAAGATAAAACAAAAATAAGAATTACACAGAAATTCTACCTTAACTAAACACCTTCATTTAACACCAGGTGATATTAAGGTAGAAGTTAATTACCTTTATTAACCTCTAATTAGTGTTAAATGACTGTAGTTAAGATGGTGTCTTGAGTGAATGTCTTATATCCCGTGTTTTATCCATAGTCCAACACGTATATAGTAACAGCTTCACTTACAGAAATATATTTACCATAGGAGTCATAGTATAATGTTAGTTCCGGGTTGTGTGGAATGACTTATAAAATGGTATAAAATCTAGTTCCTTATATCAGGTTAAACAATTTTTTTTAATAATTTTTGGATATGTTAGAAATAGAAGAAAGAAAATCAACCAATCAAGAGGCGATGTTGCTCCTGGGGTCGTGGCCACAGGCTTTTGATTGGGGCAAAATGTTTTAGGGTTGAGATGTAGTGAAACCTCTATTTAACGAACATTATGGGGAGAAAATTGTTATATCGAGGGTCTGTTAGGTGTGAAACCCTCCACTTAACGGACTATATGGGGAGAAGACCGTTCCACTGTAGCTAGGATGATTATTGAACCTTAAATAGTGAAGGATGATAAAAATATACCATAAAATATGAAGAGGAATGATTGTGGCTGGAGAGACGGATGATGATTGATGGATGACGGGGATGATGACACTGTCGGCAAGTCCTGACAAGATGGCGGAGAGGGTCGTCTAGTCCACCTCCTCCATACGGGACATGTCCTCTTCGTCTCCCTCGAGGGGCGGCATGTCATCTAGGGGATTAGTATCCTCAGGTATAGGAGCAACTTCCTCCTCATCAATCCCAAGTCCTAAACCGATCATCCTATAAATCCTAGCGGCGTGAACACCAGGATCCTCCAGATTGAATCCCGAAGCCAAGAGGGCCGTCTCGAACAGCAACATGACCAGATCCTTGACAGACTTATCATTCTTGTCAGCATCTGCCCTCTGTCTCAAGGTCTCAATGATACTGTGGTCAGGATTAATCTCCAGGTGTTTCTTGGCTGCCATATAACCCATGGTGGAGGTGTCTCTTAGTGCCTGGGCCTTCATGATGCGTTCCATGTTGGCCGTCCACCCGTACTGTGACGTCACTATACAACAGGGAGAGGTCACCAGACGGTTGCTCACCACCACCTTCTCCACACGCTTGTCCAGGATGTCCTTCACCACCTGTAACACAAGGGAACCATCTGTCAGTCCTCAGGGTACAGTCTCGAGTACCATACCTACCCCTTGAGTATGATGCCAAACCCTTGACTAAGATACCAACCCCTTGAGTACAATAACAGTGAATTTATGAAGATATGACCCCTTAAGTACAGTAAGTTAGTGAATTAAGACATTCTTTGCATTTAAATACGATGAGAGATAGAGAGAGAGACAAACCAAAACAACCTTCAGTATCTCACCTTACACAGATTCTCCAACTTCTGTTTCTGTTCCTCAATCTTCTTCTTGTCCTCCTCATCCTCCGGCAGTTCGAGACCTTCCTTAGTGACGGACACCAGCTGCTTGCCGTCGTACTCCTTCAGTTGCTGGATGCAGTACTCGTCTATGGGATCTATCATGTAGATTATCTCAAATCCGCGTTTCTTGACCCTCTCCACGAAGGCCGAGTTAGCTACTGCTTCTCGGTTCTCCCCTGTGATGTAATAGATCTGTTTCTGGTTTTCTTTCATGCGTGAGACATAATCCTTCAGGCTATTCATCTCGTCTCCTGAAGCAGAAGTGTAGAAACGTAAGAGTTCCGCTAGTTTCTTCCTGTTGGCGGAGTCTTCGTGGATACCAAGTTTAATATTTTTGGAGAAGTTTTCGTAGAATTTCTTAAATGAATCTTTCTCTTCTAAAAGTTCCTCAAATAGCTCCATTGCCTTCTTCACTAGGTTCTTTCGGATCACCTTCAGGATCTTATTCTGTTGTAACATCTCACGGGAAATATTCAATGGCAGGTCCTCAGAATCCACAACACCGGTGATAAAGTTAAGATACTCCGGGATAAGTTCCTCACAGTTATCCATAATAAAAACACGACGAACATACAACTTGATCTTATTCTTCTGTTTACGATTCTCAAACAGATCAAACGGGGCTCTACGGGGTATAAACAACAGAGCCCGAAACTCTAACTGACCCTCGACGCTAAAATGCTTAATGGCCAAATGATCCTCCCAATCGTTAGTCAATGACCTGTAGAACTCTCCATACTCCTCCTGAGAGATATCATCTGGGTTACGGGTCCACAGTGGCTTGGTCTTGTTCAGTTCTTCGTCTTCCATATATTTCTCCTTGACGGTCTTAAATTTCTTGGCCTGTTCTGATGCCTTGTCTGCGTCCTCGTCAGCTCCCACATCTTCCACCTTGGGCAGGTCTTCTTTCTGTGGAACCTCTTCGTCTTTCTTCTCATCTTCTTCATCATCAGGAATTTGCTGTAGAGAGAGAGAGAGAGAGAGAGAGATGTATAAATTGAGAGAATGATAGAGATATGTATAAATTGAGAGAATGATAGAGATAGATATAAATTAATGGACTTGAGTTTTTAAGCTTAATGAAAAACCCTACCACATTAAGCTGAAGAAACACCCCCTAACACAATAAGCTGACAAAGTATTTCATCTTATCCCTCTACCTCTATAGTGTATTAAGCTTAAGGAACACCCTCTAACACATCAAGCTGACAGAATAAGCTTTAACTTATCCCTCTCCTATAGTAAGCTTAAGAAACACTCCTAACACAATGCTGACAGAATAAGCTTCAACTTACCCCTCTCCTACAGCAAGCTTAAAAAACACCCCTAACACAAAACTGACAGAATAAGCTTACCTTGTCCCTCTCCTTCTCGACCAACAGCTTAATGGGATAACCAATAAACTGTGAGTGTTTCTTGACCACCTCTTTGATGCGTCTCTCCTCCAGGTATTCTGTTTGGTCCTCCTTCAGGTATAAGGTGATCCTCGTACCCCGCTGGAGAGGACTGCCTGGAGGAGGAAGAAGGGGAACGTGTCTTTAAGGGCGCCAGTGCAGTGAGGTACATGTCCGGTTTATCTTAAGGGGGTCTATTAAGTGGTGGTAGTAGTTGTGTTGTTGAAGTAAGCAATATAAGCGACAGGATATAAGTAAAGTATAAGTAACAATATAAGTGACAAGTATCAACAAAAGTAACACTTACTCTTATCAGGTTTAATAGTGAAGGAGCCTCCAGCAGCCGACTCCCATGTATACTGTTCATCATCACTATGTTTGGAAGTCACCACAACCTTATCAGCAACAAGATAAGCTGAATAAAATCCCACACCAAACTGACCAATCATCGATATATCTGCCCCAGCTTGTAATGCCTCCATGAAAGCTTTAGTCCCTGATTTAGCGATGGTTCCAAGATTATTAACCAAATCAGCTTTAGTCATCCCTACCCCCGTGTCAATTACAGTTAGGGATCGATTGGCTTTATCAACTTCAATTCTAATAGTAAGATCCTTTCCCGATTCGAGTTTAGATGGATCAGTTAGAGACTCGTAACGGATCTTGTCTAAAGCATCAGATGAGTTACTGATTAGTTCTCTGAGGAAGATTTCTTTGTTGCTGTAGAAGGTGTTGATGATGAGGGACATTAACTGGGCGATCTCTGCCTGGAAAGCGAAGGTCTCCACATCTTCCATCGTTTCTTCAGGCATCTAAAAAAAAAACACCATAATTTATATCTCTTTTTCATCTTTATAAATTTTAATCGTAAATTTTATCAAGTTTTTACGAAATTTTTTACACCCTGATCTATTTAATTGTACTATGACTACAACAAAAACTACTACTATTACGTCGACTATTACTACTAGGAATTTTAAAAAACCCGCCAATATTATGTCAACAAACCCTAGCTGCAGTACGACACGTTTTACATACATCATCCCTGAGCACTCCCTCTTAAAGAAGCTTCTAGAGTCATACGCCCATGTAAGTAAAAAGGGGAAGAATGGGGGAACTAAGGGGGTGAAGTAAAGGTGGGGGTTAGGGGGATATACGAGCCACTACGCCTCCCCCAACATGGTACCAAAAATAACCTCCCCGGTGGTGGCAGCGAGGAGACCACGTGTTTACCAGACGTATGAATAACTTCTTTATTAACCTCAAGTTACGTTAAGTTAGGGTTAATTTAAGTTCTTTTTCATGAACTTAAGATGAAATTGAACTTATGAATCTTGAAGGAACTTTGCTAACATTGTAGTTCGTATTTTTTTAATTACGTTCATTATCGTCATTAGGTTTCAGTAATATTACCCTATTTAAATATTCTAAAACATTATTATGCGTAATATTTTATACTGAGACTCTACCTTAATTAAATACCTTCACTCTACATCAGTTACGAGTGAATTAAAAGGTAAAGTCTCAGTATTAAGTGAAGGTATCAAGTTAAGATAAGTGTAATATTAACCCCATATTTATCACATTAAGTTACAAAAGTTAAATTCATTCCTAAATGTTAACCTAAGGAGAATATTAACCCAAGGAGAATATTAACCCAAGGAGAATATTAACCCCAGGAGAATATTAACCCCAGGAGAATATTAACCCCAGGAGAATATTAACCCAAGGAGAATATTAACCCAAGGAGAATATTAACCCAAGGAGAATATTAACCCCAGGAGAATATTAACCCCAGGAGAATATTAACCCCAGGAGAATATTAACCCCAGGAGAATATTAACCCCAGGAGAATATTAACCCCAGGAGAATATTAACCCCAGGAGAATATTAACCCCAGGAGAATATTAACTCAAGGAGAATATTAACCCAAGGAGAATATAACCCAAGGAGAATATTAACCCAAGGAGAATATTAACCCAAGGAGAATATTAACCCAAGGAGAATATTAACCCAAGGAGAGTATTAACCCAAGGAGAGACACCAAGGAGAGTATTAACCCAAGGAGAGTATTAACTCCAAGGAGAGTATTAACCCAAGGAGAGTATTAACCCAAGGAGAGTATTAACCCAAGGAGAGTATTAACTCCAAGGAGAATATTAACCCAAGGAGAATATTAACCCAAGGAGAATATTAACCCAAGGAGAATATTAACCCAAGGGAGAATATTAACCCCAGGGAATATTAACCCCAGGAGAATACAATTCTGTGGAGAATATTAACCCCAGGAGAATATTAACTCCAGGAGAATATTAACCCCAGGAGAATATTAACCCAAGGAGAATATTAACCCAAGGAGAATATTAACCCCAGGAGAATATTAACCCCAGGAGAATATTAACCCCAGGAGAATATTAACCCCAGGAGAATATTAACCCAAGGAGAATATTAACCCCAGGAGAATATTAACCCCAGGAGAATATTAACCCCAGGAGAATATTAACCCCAGGAGAATATTAACCCAAGGAGAATATTAACCCAAGGAGAATATTAACCCAAGGAGAATACTAATTCACTTAACACTTTACTTACCTTTGCGTTTATAAGTCACTAAAATAAGTAATACGGTAGATGTAAGTAGTAATGTATGGAGTGAGGTGTGGGAGAGAGTCTATGCGTCCGTCTCCTCTCAGGTCGTCAACGCTTGTGAGGGTATAACGTGCCTGCCCTCATCTTATATATAAACATTGACCACCCGTTGGCAACACCTCAGCCGCCATGATCTGTTGCCAACGAATATTCCAGAAATTTATATTTAATTCCTAATTCATGAACTATTTTACGTTGTTTATTTAATTATGTGGAAAATTGTGTGTTTATAAGTTTGTTTACTTGTTTGATGGAGGAAATAATTGTTAGTTTAATTAAATATCTATATTTAATTTACCGCCTTAGGTATTCAGGTGCCAATGTTGTTTATTTATATATTTCATTATATTCACTAAATACGATAAATAATCAATAATTAATTAACATAACAAGCACACACATATATAATTAATCTATATAATTACATCAAATTATAATATTGACTAAAAAAATCAAGCAAAAAATACAAAAAAGAAACAATAACTGGTAACTAGATAATTCAAGATGGCCGCGAATCTTCTAGACTTGTCGAGAATGTTTACCGGAAGTGACGTCGGCGGCCATCTTTCCCCGTTCCAATACTCCACACCCTGTACACCATTTAACACCATTTTAACACCATTTAACACCATTTTAACTCCATTTCCGGGTTAAATATAACTAATTAAATATATTTATGGTGTTAGAATTATATTAATGGGGGGAATTATTATGTCTAATTTTATAATAAGGCAAAGAGAAGGACGAGACGAATTATTTTAAGAGAATAAATTGTTGTGTAATTTTAAATAGGAATAAATGTAGAGGCTCTTGATAGACAGAGAGAGAGAAAGAGAGAGAGAGAGAGAGAGAGAGACAGAGAGAGAGAGAGAGATATATCACTCCTTAGACAGACAGATAGACAGATAACTAGATAGACAGCAAAAACGTCGCATAGAAAACGGGGTGTGGAAGGTGTTGAAGCAGGAGTTATTAATACACGGGTCCAACCTGTTAATGTGAAGCTTCTTGACCTAGCGAGAACTTTCCGCGTGTATGAACGTTATGTAGGAGGTCATGTGAGGTCAAGGGAGGTCATGGGAGGTTAGGTGAGGTCATGTGAGGTCAAGGGAGGTCATGGAAGGTTGGGTGAGATTAAGGGAGGTCATGAGAGGTCAAGGGAGGTCATGGAAGGTTAGGTGAGGTCATGTGAGGTCAAGGGAGGTCATGGAAGGTTAGGTGAGGTCATGTTGGTTCAATGATCTCTGAGAACCTTTAAGACATTATTGTACAGATGCTGGGATGAACAAGAGATCCTCAGTGGCGATAAATTACCATAAATGAAGGTGAATCAAGAAACTAAGTTTGTACACGTCGCATAAGAAAGTCGCTTTTCATGAGTGAGGTGCTTCCTCGCCTGGAGTACAGTCTGGTCCCCGAGATATGCTAGGGACTGTCAGTTGATTGAAAACGTCCAAAGGAGGGCCACCAGACTGATGCCTGCACCACGGCACCTCAGAGATTAGAACCGGTGCAGTTTATATTATAGGCGGACAAGGTGTGACTTAATACAGGTTTATAAACACCACTCGGTCCATACTTGACCAATGGAACCAACAGTGTGTAACAGAGAGTCAGTACTTGCCAACAGTGTGTAACAGAGAGTCAGTACTTGCCAACAGTGTGTAACAGAGACGTGACCGACTACCCAAGCATAGAGGACACAATGCAGTAGTGACCACAAGTGATAATTTACCGTCACTGAGGATCTCTTGTTCACTCCTGCATCTGTACAATAATATCTTACAGGTTCTCAGAGATCATTGAACCAACTGTGAAGGGAATTTACCATAAAGTTCAAAGGTTAAGGTCAAATTGCTTACCATATTCACGTGACTGTCTGAAAAAGGGGCGAGTAATTCCCATAGACTTTGTATAGTTACACTAGAGAAAACGTAACATATTTGAGGGTAAACTATCCTAATGTACTGCATCTCATCCATGTACCTACTTATGGCATTCTTCAATCGTTAGGGATTTTGCGCCATCCGTTGATTAACCATGTGCTAATTAAAAGTAGTAAATAATTAGCCTTACCTGTACTTCCGTGTTGTTTTGACTCAGGTGCCACAGGAAACAGATATTCCTACACTTCCTCCACGATCACAAAACACACTGACCCTTTAAACCCCTGTAGCGGTATTTAAACACCTATAATACACTAACTAGCAATAATCTGACCTTAAGAGTCACCTTTGGCTGTTTTAATAATAGTATTTTAGGCCTTACTGACATTGTTTAGTTACCATTGGTGTATAATTGTCCTTGTGTTCTGATTGGCTGGCGTCTTGTGGTAGATTATGCCACAGTAACTATATAATTTATTGATATATTTAGTCATAATATGTAAGGTATTATTTTTTAAAAGATCTGTCTGTCTATTTTTTAAGGAAAATTAAATAAAACCCCTTTAATTACTCACATAATCTAATACCATTTTCTCTGTACATACAACAATATACATAACGCTGACATTTATGAATAAGATATACACAAATTATCCCCGTTTATACACATTTCTCAAGACACTTTCATACGACATACACACGTGAGAAGAAAAAATCCACTGAATTAAAAAAACTATATTTCCACGAATATTCATAATATACACGTTTAAAAAAATGAAAGAAATCGGGTGTTAAAATTCGTAGAAAGAGAATTACTCCAAAAATATATATGATAGAGAAATATAGAGAAAGATATATATAGGTTATAGTCTATTATATTATATCTAATTAGTTTCTATTACGATAAGACACATGTTGAAGCTCCTTTGCCCGTGTCTAAATTTATCTTTTTTATAATTATTAAAATATTGTAAAAAAAAACCGATTAAATATATGAAAGGAAGATTACTTGGAGATAATGTATTTGTGGTTAATTAGATTTATGTTAATTAATTAAGAGTTGTTTTGCATTATTATTAGTATTTTTTTATTTTTCGTGAGACTACGGAACTAAATTAATTATAAATGATGTGAACTTAACTAACCTAATCTAACGGTACCTAATTAACCTAATTAATTTAATCTAAGTGTGTGTGTGTGTGGAGAGGTTAAGAGCCTATGCAAATTCTCACTATCTCTATTATGCCGTTTTATTCTTTCTCTTTTCTTATCACTGTGTTTATCTCTCTTCCTTCTGATCTACTCTCCTTCCCTACACCACCTCTCCCCCTTTATCCTTCCCTCCCTCCTTCCCTCTCTACCTTCTTCCATCCGTCACCCTCCCTCCTTCCCTCCCTCCCCCTCTACCTTCTTCCATCCGTCACCCTCTCTCCTTCCCTCCCTCCCCTCTCTACCTTCTTCCCTCCCTCCCCTCTCTCTCCTTCCCTCC